GCTTGAACTGTGCAAGTGCACATTTACTGCTACGTACCATTAAGTCTACGCGCATGTACCGTGAGTGGCGTAATTTGTTAGTTCACCGAATCGAATACAATGTATCAAAGAATTATATATCACCTGGGATAGCGACGCGTAAACGATAACTAAGTTAATTTGTACAATGCAGTAATACAGCATGCGAACAGACATTTTCAAATTTATCAAAATTATGCTGTGTCTCATTATTTGTTGGGATTACATTGTACATAGTGTAAAAAACGTGATAGCACGTCATAAAAAAGGTAAGTATGGCTAAAACAGTGCACCAATCAAGGTGCCTATAGTGACGTCACCACTCGGAATAAAACTTGTACCAAATAAGCAGTTTCTTAAGTACTTATGTACATAAGTCTTAAATATTGACCACACATTGTGATTAGAAAAATATTGCGATATTTCGAAAAGAACATTTCGTGAGGCTATTCGTAAAACAAACAACAATGTCAGGTGGGTGGTCACGGTCGTCGTGTGACAATCAAAAAAAATATATGTATATTCTCAGATTTCAAATTCAGGATCACCCGATCTTGGAAAATCGATTACTCATATATATCTCCTCGCGCGATCTTATTTAAACTATTTTCTGTAAATGTCGTTTGTAAAGCATCGTATCCCCCTTCTTTATTCGACTGATTGTCTACGTGTTTCAACGAGCTCGTACGAGGGAGGAGGGTAATCTGGAGGAGGCGTTGGCACTACATCTGAGGACAACGGAGCTCCCCCGGTTTCGTCTCCAAAGTTCAAGTCTTCATAAGATGGTGGTGGACCCTGCGCATCGTACACTGGTGCAGTGGGTCGGAGATGCACAGAAGAAGGCTGCCTAATTATTATCGAGCTATGACTACTGGAAATGGAAGATGATCCGGATTCCGATTCTGACACATGTATGCTAAGTTCCACGCTGCCGTCCACAAAATCTTGCTGGTTGTCATCGCTTTGTGCGTTTGGGGTGGATCCGTCTCTGGGTTCTCGGCGGCGTAAATTACTACAATAAACACGACAGGCACGACAGGTAACAAGGGCGTAACATGTGTCTGTGGCTTCGTATACAATCAAAATCGTTCACATCTAGAGCATTCGCAACCACCGTCGTAGCAACGGTCGATTCGACGCTTACAACTTGAAAACATGTTCCCGCAGCAGTCGCATACACTCTCACAGGTTTCAGCCAAACATTTACAGAAATGACGTAACATTGTGTAAGCAATAGTCCCAATAACAATGACTGCAATGATTATGCCAGGAATTTCCCAAAATTCGAAACCTGAGAACAAGAAAGAAAGAAAACTATAGTTTTATACACTTGTTTTAAAGATACAATAATAATAAATAAAAAAAAAACGCGAAACAGGGTATACTCGTCTAAGACAAATCCCCATTACAATGTCCATTCTCCCCCACTGACTGTATTTGTACCAATCGTTTGGCCTCAATCTCATCGTAGCTACCATGCCATATCATGTTGGAATACATTGCGTTACTGAAATTATCGCTATATTCCCAGACTATCATTCAAGCCGAGTTGCCGTTGTAGTCTTTTTTACAGCCACTTTTTTTTTCGTTTCGCCATGATAGTGGTCAATGTGAGTACCTGTAATTTCGAACACTGCGATTAAGATTTTTCGACATTGTGAAGTTCTTTCGTTTTTATGCAGTATTTCCATTAAGTAAAATTATATTTATTCATTTTATTGTTCACATAAACATAGTTTGTAATTTCATTCAGTTTCTTTCAGTCATAATTCGGGACAAAAATGCAAAATTATAGAGAATATAACAAATTGTCTTTTGTCTGTAATATCCTTGTGTAATCTTCGTTGCTGTGCATATGGAATACATTTCGTTATGGATTATACTTGATATATTTCTAAATTTTCTTGTCAAAATCACTCACAGCCCCCCCCCCCAAAAAAAAAACGAAAGAAATTCACAATGTCGAAAACGGGAAATGTTTATTGTAGTGTATTTGTTTAAAATGATTCGAGCCTATGAAGTCCCTATTCCATGATGTGGTATTATTTCTTGATTTTAAATTACTATCATCATCAAACTTTGACCTCAGAGTCAGTCGGGTTACGGTCTGTATTTTAATTGTACATTTGCTCACCTGTGCCGCCATCTTTACCTACACTGTGGTATACGATTGTCGTGCCCCCTAATATATAATAAGAAGAATACGAAGTGTTAGAAAAGAATATAAAACTAAAACATACCACTTGATAAATTAATTTACATTATATACAAAGTTCAGATATCAAGTAAGATTCGTTACCGATGTCTTTCTTGCACAGAGCTGCATACGAAGTTCCACACGGCTGCATCGACCACTCCCCCAACCTACTATCGAGGGCGCAACATTTACCGTTACTCAGTTGAGGCTCGCTGATTTTCCAGCTGCAGAGAACAACGCAAACCAGTAAGAATAAACAAACGTGCAGATTGCTAGTTCAATGTCACTAAATATCCCATCCACACGCGTATTAATAGATTGTAGGAATATAAAAAACGATCTATCGGTGTCTTGAGGGAATCTCGTATCTTGAACTTATAAAAGACCGAATTACAACGAGTCACGCCCAGTAAGTTGTTGTTAGCGTGAGAAATGTTATAAATCCCGTTTACACACGACAACATGCTATGTAAATCATTTCATATGTTTTAAATATTGCCGAATAATTTTGCAAAGTTTATCAATGTTTAACGAGGCCGTTATAAATGACTTTTATTTTTTTTCATAAAACAGTTCGATATTAATGTAGACTAACACACTAGACTATGGTTTATTATGAAGAAAATAACAAACACGACACGACACGACAAAATACAACACATTCGTATTCCTTTGTAAAAAAAAATGGGCATGTACTTTGAATTAAAGAGTATTTTAGTAATTTTGTTGTTTGATATTGGATCTTAATGAAACATTGGGATATGATTTATTCGTTTGATTAAATACGTATATGTAAATACAGAACGCATACGTTTGGTATTTAACTTTGTTTTTTTTTTCATTCCAGCTTTATTTAAATGTTCATTTAACTTTTTATAACTATTTTTAAAATTATGATGTGAAATTGTGAGCGGATATTAAAAAGCCGTGTTGCTGCTCTTCACTCAACTCTGTTGTATTGTCAAACAAGTGTTCTTACTTGGTGTAGTTGTAACTACTGCGATCAATCCACGTGAAGTTACTCCAGTCATCTGTGTACATTGCTCCGATCCAGACCCAGACGGGAGTCGAGGACACCATATATGTATCTGCAATGACGCGTAAGTGAGAACGCTTATATACACCTGGTGACAGTGCTCGTACAGTGAGCGAACGTTCGGGTTGCTGACGTAATGCTGACTATCACCGCACATTAGCATATGATATTAAATTTGTGTGCAATCTTACCAACAATGTCTTTGTTTCTATCATAAATTCTGGACATTCTCGTAAACTAATATAGCACTACTTACTGACAAGGAAGGTCTCTTCTTGTTCCGTGTGGATACTGGCAAGATTTGACGCAGAGTACCCACAGCTTTCTTGCGATGCATGCCAGTCTCCCGACGTTGATGGCAGTAGTTTATAACAGTCTTTGCCATAACGTTCCCAGTTAGGTGGGCAAGACTCGTGAAGCGCTGAAGAATTGAAAGACTTTTATTTGATATATGAGAGATTAATTAAAACAAAGACGAGTGTTGAGTGTTGTATTATTATCCCGACTAACAGCAAGACTACACTCGTCGGATGCAACACTACACTCACACGCCGTTAAAGCGGGATGGTCGTCACCTGCGCACGCGCGGGAATTGAGTCCCAAGAGATGATAACACACGCTAAAAACGCAAAGGCTCATGGGTAGACGCTTGTTTGTAAACAATGACACGCTATGGCTATCTGACGCATGTGCAGGTGACGACTCCCCCCGCTTTAAATACACATATGCGAAAATAAAATTTTGATATGTCTGTAAGTGAAAGGTAGGTCGAAATTTGCTACTGGAACTGACGAATAATGTCAACCACATTCTTGTCGTCTGCTAATTACGATGTCCCGGATGCCATATGACATCAGAAGCCGTAATGAGATGCAAAAGGAAGCCAATATAAACTTCCCCGGCCAAGATCAATATTAATCGACAATCAGGTGATTTATTCACCAATCAAATTGACCGCGTTATTTTTGAATCACGTGATAAAAAAAGTTATCTTACCAAAACTGGTATAGGAAAATTGAAATCCCTTTTCTTGAACTGAATCATCAGTGTGCATTGCGACATAAAGGAACTGTCCCGTACTGACGAAGTTGCTACTCACTGGGTGACCAGAGTCGCATAATTGTATTATTACATTAGCATATGCTGAATCTCCTGCGAGAAAAAAAAGAAATACATTTTGTTTTTAAAAAATCAGTGGAATAGATTCACTCCTAAAATCATGTGAGACACGTTGGCAATTGGCTTACCATCATATACCGTGACGCTATCGTACACACAGTCGCCCTCTACTTCGAAATCTAGCACAACGAGTTCCACGCGGTGGTCAACAGAGGGAGCACTGATCTTCCACCCACAGTCCGTACTGGGTGGATATTCATCCGGGTAGTTTGGAGAAGTGAGGTAGTTGATTTGACCCGTCACTGCAGTCAACTCGGTATCCCTGGCAGCACAGTCCCCTGTAAGTATATTTCATATCAGCGATGATAACCAGTCAGTCAAGACTGTTTATCTGACGACCCAGAATGTTAGCATACTAGTACATTAATATTAAAGGTGTTGATCTGACGCGTGTCAAATTATCTGACATAACATTTCTCGTGATATCACCATAATTTATTTATTCTCTATATTTTACTTACCTTTTATAACCAATATGTTGTAAGCAAGAACTATTATCAGAACTACCGGAAATGAAGAAGAAACACGATTATAATCAGTGTAACGTACATATACGAGAAATGGGTGTCATGTACTGGGTCGAGATTGTTATAAATATTATTTGATAATGTATAATAGAAACATAACTGATTTTATTTTGTGATCTGAAAACGTTTTTTTTTCAGGTAGACTGAGAGCGTCGTCCGTCGCCATTCTCCAAGCCTCGACTGATTTATGCCGTTGGTGGCGTCGAATCGCAGTCAGCGCGTACAGTCCGTCGATGTTTAGAAGAATGATTCGTCGTGAGATACCTATCGCTACAGACGGGAATTAAATCACGACTACGTTGACGTAGCAAGCTAGTACATAACAACTGATAAGAATGATATTCACCTTTAATGATAATCGAACACGTGATCATTTTAGCAATATTATTGATATCTGGAAAATGGAAACAAAATGATGTTAAAAAAATGAAGAGGAAATATAATATAAGGAATGGTACACGACAAACCTGAATAATTTCGCTGTGAATCGTGTTCGCCATCTACTTGTTCACTATCGCCACATATCCGGACACCACGGCATTCTAAGTTTATTCATGTTATTATAACTATACACTGGTAAGTTTTGTTATGCATGTAGATATGAATCGGGTTGAGTCTTGGCACGCATTTTAGGATTAGAAAGTGCGTTGACCTTGACTAGCTCGTCACGAGTTCGATAGTAATGGATATCTTCAACAAAAGTGGACACATTGGATAAGCGGGGGTGGCGTGGCCAGGAAGAACATAGTCGAATGTTCAATACAACAACCAATCCTACAATCTGTGATTTCAAGACGACGAAATATTCATTTAGGGGGAAATATGTTCAAAGTTATATACTAGCATTTTTTGTCCAAATTTCAACGAAGAGTACGTTTTTTCAATAATTTTGAATTGTTGTGTCCCAAAACAACGAACATTATTAGGCCAATTCGAATAAGGTAGCAGTAAAGCAAATTCCGTCTCAAATTCCATGACAGTCCTGTACACTGCTAAATATTGTTCTTCTCATCCAAGTTTTGACGGGATCAGAGACTGAATTTTTTTAGTTCTTGTTTGTTAACACCCCATAACTCACCATATAATATATATTAGCACAGTTCCTCTAGAAGGGACTGTGATATTAGGAAACTATTCAGTTCTATAATTAACATGAGACTAATACAACACCTTGATAAAAACAACGTAATTAATCAAAACCAAGGTGGCTTCCGTCAA